TAGGAGGGTGTGCGGGGGTGCTGGAGTGTGAGGTGACGGGAAAGGTGTGTGTTGGGGGATTAGGCAGTGGGGGTTCTGGGCAGTTGTGGCGAGATTGTGGGCAGAGATGGCGTGCAGGATGCTATGTTTCTGGCAGCCCTCCTGGAGGCTCTGGTCATGGGAGGGATGTTGAGTTGGGGGACTGTGGGGCAGGACTCAGGGGCACCTTGTCTTTATGTGGCACTGCAGCCACCACTTCCATTCACCCCCTGATCTGCCCCCCACTAGACCTTCTGAGTCCCAGGTTATATGACCCTTCCAGCAGCTACGTGTACTGTGCTCAGTCAGTCACTCCCCATATCCCATGCCTCCTCACCTGGCCCTGCATGCAGGGCACTGTAAGAAACACAATTTCTCTTCTTCTCTGTTGGTTGCTGATTGATTGCTATGACTGGTAAGCTGGCTGCTCTCTCTTCTGCCAGATCATTTGGTGGTGGGTGGAAAGCGTACAGCCTTTTGCCTTCCAGCCTTTCACAGTAGAGCGTCAGTATCTTTTTAGGCCATGTCTGCAGTTCAAAATTATGTCAGCCTAACTTCAGCATAGAACTAAAGCTGTTATTAAATCACTTGTGAATGCACACTTGGCTCTTTGTGTCAGCACTGTGCCTTCTCACTAGAAGTGCTTGGATCAATGATTCTGTTAGTGTGAGGTATTGTACGACAGCTCCTGAAAGCCACTAAGAGTTGACATAAGCATAACTGCATCAGCATTGACTCTACACTGCTCAGGGATGGGGTGTTATTAAATTGGCATACGGGGGCACCTAAAGTAGTAGGAGCCAAATTTAAATGAAGACACTACCATAGGTAGGTTAACTCAAGGCAGCGTACATCACGCTAACTCTGTGGTGTAGGCCAGGCTGAAGGAATACTCAAGTTACTTATTGCTGTGTTGTTATAAATGTACCAGGAGAGGGATTTCACTGTATTTCAAAGGAGGCTATATCTGCTTTTTTGCTGAATCTCTCAATATAGTGTATTTAATAAAAAAAAATAGTCCTTTAATTTAGACATAAAACTCAATGAGAAATTCAGTTTTGTGTCTAAATTAAAGGACTTTTTCAACACTAGCAAAGTTAATGCCAGTGTGAGCCTCCTTGTAAAAATTGGAACTGGAACAGAAACCTTAGATGCCAGGAATTTGCTCAAATATATTTCTGCTGTTCTACAAAACATGTTACTTAAGGAGAAACTATCGGTTTAGTCCTTTTAATAGTCCTGTTCTGCCCATTCAAAATCAAATGGGTGTGTGTGTGTGTGTGTGTAATATATATAAAAGTCACGACAAGTTGTTTTTTTTCCTTCGCATCTTACTTGTTTTTGTTCCAGTATGTTTGATTAATTTGCTGTGGATACTTTGGGCTGGATCAGCATTGGGTTTTCTTTGTACAATGGTGGGAAGACTAAGGGTACGTCTAGACTACCGCGTTTTGTCGACGGAAGTTTTGTCGACAGATACTGTCGACAAAACTTCCGTCAACAAAGAACGTCCAGACACATTGAGTTCTGTCGACAAAGCAAGCTGCTTTGTCGACAGAACTCCGTAGTCTGGATGCAATGTTACAGGCAATAACACCTTCTGTCGACAGAGTTCTGTCGACAGAAGGTGTTATGCCTCGTAAAATGAGGTATACCAGCGTCGACAAAACTGCTGAGTTCTGTCGACGTTATGTCGACAGAACTCAGCGGTAGTGTAGATGCTGGTATAGTTTTGTCAACAAAAGTCCACTTTTGTCGACAAAACTAGATAGTCTAGACACACCCTTAGACAACCAAATGTGTCAGGTAGTGAACAACCAAGAAGTTGATATAGTTAATGGAAGCTTATATTATCAACTTGCTGATTTTTTTTTTTTAATCATGACTTCACCAGAAATGGAGGAAGGATAAAATAAATCACTGTAACTCTAACTTCCCAGAACTTTTCCACTCAAACAATGTGTGAATCTCATACAGTTAGCTGCTTTGAAATTGTTTATAAAAAAAGTATCACCAGTTGTTTCCTTAGATAATCAGAGCATATGCTATGCTTAGAGATGCCATAGAATATTCCACAACTATCTCTGGACCTTACTTAAAGATCAAATGTTTTGTTTTAATTGTAGCAGTGAAAATGTTTGCTGCAGCTTTTGGAAGACAGTGCATTTTGAAATGTTATACTGAATTTTGAATCTATTTTACTACGTGCTGAGTACATATTATAAAATTTTTCTTTATCCCTTCAAAAGCAGCACTTCAAGGAGTTAACCCCCAGTCATGTCAGGTGAGCAGGTGTTTACTATAGCACTGTGACTATAAGGTGTAGGATATTTGTCTGTCTTCATGTATTAAGCACATTCACAAGGTCCAAGTGTGTTGCTGCATATACCCTATATGTGCTAGGGATTAAATTTTGATTAATCAACTAATCGAGTAGTCTTACTGCATCTCTTCCTTTGAAATGTACAAAAGCTGCCCACAGCTCTTGTACTTCAAAGGGAAAGGCACAACAGTCAGGACCAGCATGAGTGGGGACTGCTTCAGTCCTCACTTGTTGTGTTTCTCTGCTGCACTGCCTCCCCTGCCCCTCCCTTACTCCCCCCTCTCCCTTCCCCGCTGTGGAGATGGTGCTGAGGGGGAAACTGGCTTTTAAGTCCACTCCCCTCAGCACCAGCTCCTGCTTCTCCCCTCTTTCCCCCCCACCCTTGTTGTCTCTCTCTGATAGAGGCAGCAGGGGTGGGTGTGTGTGTGTGTGTGTGTGTGTGTGTGTGAGAGAGAGAGAGAGATGCAACTAGTTGTATCACTATTTGACTACCCAATAAGCATATACTGACTAGTTGATTACATCCCTAATATATGCTAACCCACTGAAGTGAGATGAAAGCACATTTACTTGATTTAGTATAGTTAATACAAATCAAGGTTGCTCACCTAATTGAATAGTGGCATCTAAAAATTTGGGGCACCACTGGTGTTAACATCCATCCACCCAACTTTTCCTATCCCTGTACTCTGCTTCCTCCGGAGAAGAGCTAGTTAACTTAAGAGTGAAAAGGCCTGCCAGAAATATTAGCAGAATATTGAACCTGTGAAAGAGCCATTCAAGTGGTAATTAAGCCATTTAATGGGTATTTGCCAACCCCAGGTATATGCTGTCAGTTTTTGTTAGTCTCTAAGATGATGCAAGACAGCTTGTTGTTTTTTAAGTTTTTTTTCTGAATTTACTCTTAGGCTATGTCTACACTTCAAGGAGTGTCCACACCTCAAGCGCATTTTTGCACAAGAAAATCAACAGAACAGAGGGCTTTTGCCAGTAGAGTAATTCCTCTCCCCACGAGGAATAACTCCTTGTTGCGCTACAGCTCTTGCACAAAAAGGCAGGTTTGGATGCTCCGCAGGGGGTTTTGTGCAAGAAACCCCCATCGGAAAAAGCACAGGAGCTCTGATGGCCATTCTGTGAATGGACATCAGAGCTTTCTTGCGCAAGAGTGTCCATGCAGTATGGATGCTCTCTTGCGCAAAAGCACATCGCTTTTGCAATGTGCTTTGAGGTATGGACGCGCTTTTGCGCAAGATCTCTTCCACAAAAGGCTTCTTGCACAAAAGCCCTTCAGTGTAGACAAAGCCTTAGTCTACAGGACTGTAGATTACAATTTGCTATAAAATATTTCATTAGTGTGTTGCTGAAGATTATAAAATCACTTTTCTAAAAAATTATCTCCCCTCTCCCCTTGGACTGCCATTGGGTATAGGACACCAGTTTAATAGTACTGTGTAGGGCACCATAAATCCTAAAGACAGCTCTGGGCCCATTGAAATCAAGGAAACAACACAGATTTACATTATTTGAGGGTCTGGCCCACAATTCATACTGCATAGACAAGGCACTAGCCAACATGCCTACAAGCAGCTCAGGGCCTCAGGAGTGAGTGGCTGTTCTTCTTGAGTAAGAGAAACCTTTTAAAGTCAGATTACTCATAAAATATGGACCTGAATGGTAATGCAAGAAAATTATGGTCTGTTGCCTTTTTTGTTGATTAATGTTCATTATTACAAATGTGTTGATCATGTGGTGGTAATGTGTGAATATTTGAAGTAGTTATTGGTAGAGCAATAGTTGTTAATAAATTATAGGAATGTACTAAATCTAAAACAGTGACAAATTCATCAATCAAGGAGGGTAGAATAAAGCTCTCCATAGCCACTCTGTGTTCATGTCCTTTTCTTCATGGTTTATTAACAGAAGATGCAAAAGCCTCAAAATAATAGAGTGCTAGAGGTGTCCTGCTTTTTCCTGGCTGGGAAGTAAGGATACATGCCTTTCCTGACTGGCTAATCCCCAGACTTCCTGCCAGATCATCAGAGAGGAATGTCTTCAGGGTCATAAATCAATCTTCATCTTTCTAAACTGAACCAAGAGTATTCTTTTCAATGGTTTCCTGTCACATAGGATCTTTCTCCATCTTGTGCTCCATCTGCAGATAACAACTGCCTTGTTCTTAAAGGGCTGGGTCTCCAAACAGGACATTGCTGCAATGTATGCATATGCCCAAGAAAAAGAAGTCAGTTTTCAAAATATCATAGTTTCCCTCAGTGTTGCCAACTTTCACAATTTTATTGTGAGCCTCACAGTATTTGTTTTTTTCCTCAAAACATCAACTTCCAGATTCACGTGATTAGATGAGAATCTCAGCTTTCATTTAAAAGTTAAGTTTCTAGCCCTCATTGTTCCAGAGGGAAACTTGAAAGCATGATCCATTTACATCCTAAATGTTCAGATATCAGACGATAACTAAAATGAGCCCCCAAATTTATCATTTCTAAAAAAATCTCATAGGTTTTAAAACAATCTCATGGCTTTTGAGGATTTACTCATTCTGAATGCTTGGCAACACTGAATATAGTAAAATCATTAGTAGAAGGGGTATAAACGGATATTGTGAAACTGTGAGATATTCTTCACTTTTTAATTTTTGTTTCAGGAAGGAATGAACTGCAGTTCTGGACAGCAGCTATCAACCAATCCTTGTATATTGCATGGCAAAAAATAGAGAGACAACTAATAATCATCATGTCTTTTCTCGTTACTGCTCTCTGGTATTGCAGAAGGCTGTATGCATATTTAGCACAACTGTTGAAATGGTATGTTTTTACTACAGTGCCTTTTATTTTCAATAGTATCATTGGTCTTTCATTAAATATTTACTTTCTGCAAACTCTTTTTGATAGTTGTTTTATCATTTGGATTTCAGGTGGAGTAGATATCTGCACAGAAAATTCAAAAGTAAACTCTTTTTGTTATCAATCTGAATTATAACTTTCCTCATCTTTAAATGCAAAAAAGTAGATATTTAACTAATCTGTGAATTAAATTTGGTTTAGAGAACCTCAGTGTACTGGCAGAAGTTGATCTGCTTGGTTATTGTGCAAGAGAATGGAAAGGAGAAACCAAGCAAGCCAAGCAGATGAAGGCGGTAAGAGTTTAAAAGTTGACTCTCTATATATAAAGTTGGAAAAAGTACTGAGTTGGGAGAAAAATAAATAAATTCCATCCAATTTTTGTCCATACATCATAAGCAGATGTTTATGAGCAGTGTGAGATATCAAATGAACTTCAAAATAGGGGTGGGGGGAGCTCTCCTTACATACATTGTTCTCTGTATAGCCAGGAGGTATGCTCAAGCCAGCTCATTGAAAATAAAATAGCTCTGAGCAGATCTAATTTGCACTGGGGGCCAAACTAATTTCCCAATACCTCTGGGGGAACACAAACGTGGCATATAGTAACTTTTGTTTGCCTTGACTCTGGGTACGTCTAAACTACACCCCTCTTCCAACAGAGGGGTGCAGTTTAGACATAGCTTCTGGGTCCTGATCTTGACCGTGGGTTCAGCAAACTAGACATGTCTTTAGTTAGTGAAGCAATGGACCTGTTTCATTAACACCCTTTGTAGGATGAACAGTAGTTACAGAGTTTCTAACTTCTAGCCGCAAAGAAACTAAACTAAGTTAATACAAAAGATGAACTGATTATTTCAGTGAAACACAGAAAAGATGCTTACCACAAGTGTCCTCGTAGTACAAGTGGGGAGAGGTAATCTCTTCAGTACTGTAGAAGAACTCAAGAAATGTTGTCTGCAAGATCAGTCCCAACATGTTGAATTACCCCCAGGCCCAGGAACTCAACCATAATGCTACAGAATCAAAAAGAAAGAGGAACCAGTTCTCTTTTGTCTTTTCGTTCAGCTGAACTACTGATCAGGGAAAAGAGGCAATGATATTTTACTGTTGGCCCACAATGTCTCCTTCTATATTTGGTTTTATTCTATTGTAAAAAAGTGAAAACATGAGAGTTTTTGTACCCTAGAACAACATGTATACAATCTACCTACAATAAATTTCAGATGATCATTTTATTATACAGCCAAATCTCTAGACTACACTCAAGTATACATTGACTTAATGCTAGGCCACTAGGATGATCCGAGGAATGGAAAACCTGTCTTATGAAAGGAGACTCAAGGAACTTGGCTTGTTTACCTTAACCAAAAGAAGGCTATGGGGAGATATAATTGCTCTCTTTAAATATATTAGAGGGATAAATGCCAAGGAGGGAGAGGAATTATTTAAGCTCAATACCAATGTGGACACAAGAACAAATGGATATGAGCTGGCTAGTAGGAAGTTTAGACTCGAAATTAGGTGAAGGTTTCTAACCATCAGAGGAGTGAAGTTCTGGAACAGCCTTCTAAGGGAAGTAGTGGGGGCAAAAGACCTATCTGGCTTCAAGATAAAGCTAGATGGGTTTATGAAGGGGATGGTTTAATGAGGTAACATGATCTTGGCAATTAATTCACTTTTCACTATCAGTGGTAAATAGGCCAATGGTGGGAAGATAGGAGTTGCTATAGAGAACTTTTTTCTGGGTATCTGGCTCGTGAGTCTTTCCCACATGCTCAGGGTTTAGCTGATCGCCATATTTGGGGTCGGGAAGAAATTTTTCTCCAGGGTAGATTGGCAGAGGCCCTGGAGGTTTTTTGCCTTCCTCTGTAGCATGGAGCACGGGTCACTAGCGGGAGGATTCTCTGCATCTTGGTGTCTATGAACCATCGTTTCAAGGACTTCGATATCTGAGATATAGGTGAGAGGATTATTCTAGCAGTGGGGTGGGTGAGATTCTGTGGCCTGCGTTGTAAAGGGGGTCAGACTAGATGATCAAAATGGTCCCTTCTGACCTAAAAGTGTATGAGTCTATCATGGTTTGTTTTAGTAATCTGTGTATTAAAACCTGTTTGAAAATGTACTCTTCTGAAGGGCTTGAGTCGGTTTAATGACCACTTATTGCTTTTAGTATTAACATTGACGAAGAAAAAGATAATGTGACTTTTAGTACAGTTAAAATCAAAATCCAGAGCATTGTGATTTCTCATCATATCCTTAACTCACTTTGCAAAGGTTTGTATGTGCTGTTAACTTACTGAAATAAGTCGTTTCACGTGCCTTAACTCTGACTTTTCTCAGGAAATGTGTGGGTTTGAGATAGGCACTTCCTATAATTCCAACATGACTGCACTGAATATTTAATAAGGTGATACCAAGGGAAAACTTATGCGCAAGTATACCTGGGAATGTGATTAAGTGCTTTAGTTCTTTTTTTACATGTAGCAATGATCCTCTCATCCCACTATTTGGAAAAGAGGCAGCAGGGGGCTAGCAACTAACAATCTGGCAATACTGGCATGCAGCCATTTTAAAGGATTGCCACTGATTCAGTTTGCAGAGGAAGGATGTCATTTTTTTTAAATATATAACTCTGCTTTCTAGAATGCTGGAACATAAAATAGGCATTTAAGGGTTTAAAACATTTATTTTTTATCATCCCTTTGTTTTCCTGTCAGCCCAAGAATCAGGCCAAAAATTTCAATGGTCTCATTTTTGTTCTGTAGTTTGGTGGCATACTCATTTACATGTTTAAATATGGTGAAGATGCCAAACAGTATGGGCACAAATGCGTTTAGAAATTAGAAGTCGTATTTGGCTATCTCAGTAATTGCCACTGATATGAAGAGTTGTGATTATGTCCCAGTTCCTTGTCTTACTGGACCTTTTTTAATTAGTTTATTCTATTGATGAATGCACCTATTTTTAATAAAAATCTTCAGAAAATGAATAGTGAATGAATAAATAGATCCAGTAATGGATAAAGAAACATAAGAAATCATTTTCTAGGGATCATGTAGGATTTAATAAATATTGGGGTTACCATTTAGCATTTTATGTTAGCAGTCTTCAGAGAGAAAATCAATTTAGTAATCCCGTGGCATAAACTTTGTTATGAAAGGGCTCCATCTGCTGTATGTTGCTAGGTACACAATTTTAGAGGAGACTACAATGTGGTGTGAACCTAGCATTACTGGCATTATCATATCAAGTTCTGCATACAAAAGTTGTAATCTTTTTCTCAGGCACCATGAAAACAAATCTCTAGCAATTCTGAGTGCCTGTGAAGCAATGTTTTATCAAAAATTAGGACCGCAGGTATTAGGCTGATAGCACCACTGTAGCCACAAAAATTTCCCACATCAAACCTTTTTGGCCGTGGCAGTTTGCTATCTCCCATTCACAACCTATGACCTGGTAAACATCAGTTTCAAGTTAGATAGATAGGGTATAAAATACTTATTAACTATGCTTTGAGTGATGCACACAAAGATCATTATAGAAATTGGAGAAGTATAGTGTCTAGACCATGTATAAACATATTGAAACAGATAGGAGGTATATACATCTATAGTGAAATCAAATGTCGCTAGGCCTTCTCCATTACCTTGTGCTAGTGTACATCGGCTGTAACTTCAGTGAGATCAGTAGTATTACTCCACTGTAAACAAAATTTGTATAGATCCCTAAGGACATCTCGAAATTAGCGTCAAAGCTAACTTTTCTCACGGGTTCATTCTAGGATTAAAGATACATGTTGTTCACTGTTTTGGCTGTTTTTAGGCTTATAAAGAACTATTTTGGAGACATCGCGTTAAATATATACGACCAGTCCGAAGAGATAACTACAGTGCATTAAGGGCTGTGCTGTTTCAGATATTCAGTCAAGGCATTTATTTTCCACCATGGATGAGGGAGAGAGACATTTTAAAGGTATGTTTCAGTTGCTGAAGCCCTGTCCTTATGTTGTCGAAAAGAGGATTTGATCCAACAACAACTTCTCTAAAACTGCTACACTCCATTGCAAGTACGAGCAGAGAGAATGTGAGGGAGAAAGAAAAGTTAAGTACCGTGCAAAAGTGGAAGCAAGTGTGAAGTTTATTGGGTTCCCTCATTCTTAAGAGTACAAGAATAAATTAATGGAGATGGGTAGGTGTAATAACATGCCTGAGGGGGACACGGGTATAAGGGCTATCTCTGCTAATAAGGCATAATAATAAGCTGTGTCATCCAATTTTAAGCCTTATGCCTGCCATTGGAAATGAATTATTTACTTTTGGTACTGGGAGTACCTAGAGACCCCAGTCTGGGATGGAGGGTCCTATTGTGCTCTTTATTGGCTGGTTGCCTGTGAAAAAGGCCACAAAGTTACTTACCAAGCTGAAAGCTAATTAGAGCTTCAACATTAGTTAATGGTGGATGACTGAGGGTTTCTTTTTGACTGCCTGAGCACGCGTGTGTGTAGTGTGTAGAGTGCACTTTAGGTTGCATATGCACTCTGTGAGCCCGGAATCAGAAAATTCTTCCCAACAGTGTCTGTTTAGTTCATCCCTGTGCTCTGCTCTGAGGGCAAAAAGGGGCTGCCAGACAGCTGCCCTTTCCATTCCTTCTCACTGCTTGGAGTCTGGATGGAGCCTTAGAGGTCACTGCATTCTTTCAGCCTTTACCTGTAAATAGATTAGCTTAAATCTCAAGGAGTAACCCTGTTAGTCTGTATCTTCAAAAACAATGAGGAGTCCAGTGGCACCTTAAAGATTAACAGATTACTTGGACATAAGCTTTTGTGGGTTAAAACCCACTTCACGGTTTTTATCCACGAAAGTTTATGCCCAAATAAGTCTGTGAGTCTTTAAGGTGTCACCCCTTGTAGTTTAGCTTAGTACATTTTGTGCCCTTCATTGGGCACCTTTTGTATAGGGCAGTGATCCTTCCTTCTTCCCCTCCACTTCACTCTGAGGCATAGAGAATAAGCCAAAGGCTCCTGGCTAAGAGAGCTTTGTGAACTGCTAGGGGGCTTTCTGAGTAAATACAGTCCATGACTCTCCTTGTACCAACTGAGGGAGGCCATTATCCCTATCAAGTGCAATACTTCTAGGTCATTTCCATGAGGGATGAGGTAGTCAAAGGAGATCTGTCTCATGATGTTTCTCATGGATAGGTCCATGAGAGCAGCTCCAGACTTTTGACTTCCTGTAAGTTTGTCTGAGGAAAGTATGAATGTGGCTTTGGCTGGTTCCAGGCCTCTTACCCCTGCTCCACAATTCCCTGTTGGCTCTGACTTGGGTGATAAGGGCTGGGATTAAAACAGAGGAAAGGAGAGACAAATGCTCTCATATAAATAAGGGGAAGTGCCTTGTCCATGTCCTCTAAGAAGAAATAGAAGTTCTCTTCCCTCCCCAAATTGGGGAAAGCCTTGTGCTCGGGTTTAGTATCATTTGGCACTATGAAAGATCAGCCTAGGGCAGTGGTTCTCAAACATTTTGACCTGTGGACCACCTGGCTCAATGTAAACCTTTCCACAGACCATCAGTTGCTAATGGAAACTCACTGTTAATTACATAATTATGCCCAAGCCATTTGCTAGTGCTGCAGCTAGGGAGAACGGTTTAATTTAAATTATGAAACATTCAGTGTTTTAACCATCTCATGTTAGTTTATCAAACTTCATTTTAAATAAAGTAAAATATTAATGTATGTCCAACACAAAAGGTTCCAGTGTTTTCTTTTTTTATGGCAGGGGTAGGGAAAATTTTTTGGTTTGGGGGCCACTGACCCACAGAAAAATCCATTAGGGACTACACAAATGAGAAGCAAAAAAACTCCTCCAAAAAACTCCAACCCTCACTGAGTAAACTGAGACTTTACTCCTCTAGCCTTCCAGTCCCACAGGGTGAGGGGAAGGGACAGTGAGCAGCTTGATCTGCCTCTCTCTGCAAGCCAGGTCTGGCAGAAAGGTCGGGGCTTTCTTCACCTTCCCCCACCATGCCCTCCAAGCTGTAACCTGGAGCTTTTGCTGCAGCCTCACAGCTGCACAGTGACCACAAGGCTTGAGCAGGAGTGTGGGCTCCTCGCTGCATGGGGGAAAAGGAGCTGAGCTCAAGCCATGGATCACGTGGAAGGCAATCGTGAGCCATTAGTGGTCTGTGGACCGCACTTTGAGAACCATTGGCCTAGGGCATCGACTAAGGACAAGGCTCCGATTGGGACCTGTACTTTGGAACCTCCGGCATATACATCCAGGCCAACACCCTGGGCTCCAGTGACCATTGGACTGTCTGCCATTACAGCAGAGAAGGAGGTGAGCCTATCCGCTCCAGCTCTCTGTTTGGCACTGGATAACCTTCTGATTCTCTAGGAGCTAGTGTCACTGTTGCTGTTCAGAGATCTGCCAAGATGCCACTCGATACTAGCCTGTACTCGATCACTGAGCTGGGGTCAAAACTTTTGCCAGCCCTGTTGACTAATAGGGACAGAGCATCACCACCTCCTCGCATGAGATCTCCCCCATTGGACTCGGATTCCAAATCCATTGACTCTGAAGGTACCAGAAACATGAGGCCCATTCCCAAACTACTCCCCAAGGTGATTTTTGTGAGGATAAAGCCCAGATAGGACACTGGGAATCTCTGAGTTTCACAATACTCCCAGCCCAGGGAATAGTAACCCTCTATGTATTGGAACTTCAGGGGCTAGCCGAGTTAGTCTGTTAGGGTGTGTCTAGACTACATGGTTTTGTCGACAAAAGTGGCCTTTTGTCGACAAAACTATACCTGTGTCTACACTACCACCACGTTATGTCGACAGTAAATCGACAGAATGTGACAGTTTTGTTGACGGTGGTAAACCTCATTCTACGAGGAATAACACCTTTGTCAACAGAGTTCTGTCGATAAAAGGTAAGTGTGGATGCAGGGAAGAATTTATATCAACAATAAAGGCCTCCAGGAAGAAGCCCTGGTGGACACTCCTGCCACAGCTTTCAACTCTATTGTTCCTGCCTGCAGCCATCTTTAAAAGGCACAGGCACCCAGGATTACCATTCTGGCAGCAAGCCACCTCCACCCAGGACCCTGAGACTGCGCAGCTCTGTCCAGTCAGGAAACTCGGAGCCGTGTCCCAGGGACAAGCCCCCCAAAACTCCCCTGGCCCTTCCAGGGACACGTTCCCCCAGGAAGCCAGGGGCACCAAATGCCGGGCACCCTTCTGGTCTGGGCCAGGAAAGGCCACCACCCCCACACCGTACCCCAGGTCAGAGCCAAGGTCAAGGAGCTGAGGCAGGGGCACATCAGGGCCCGTGAGCACAGCTCCCGCTCCGGGGAAACGGCACACCGCTGCGCCTACTACGAGGACCTGGACTGGATCCTGGGGGCAGGGAAACCCCTGCCTCCTGAGAGGCTTGTGGACTCTGGGTTGGAGACCCCTGTGCAGCAGTGGCCGCAACTCCAGGCAGACGACCAGGAGCTCCAAAAGGAGGAGGAAGAGGAAGATGGCACCAGGAGCACCCTGGAGCAAGACGCCTACACTCAACAGGCCTCCCAGACAACTTCAGACACCGGGGAGGGAACATCAGGTGAGTGCCGTGAGGGTCCAACACACACAGGATTGGGCAGGCGGGAGCAAAGTGGACGGTGCAGTGCTGTGACATGTCATGCTGATCACAGCCTGGGGGGGCCACACCCCTGGCCGCCCACAGGGAGGGCCGTCCTACCCCTGCACCCGCATGGCTGTGAGGCACCACCTGCTCCTGCAGGCAGTGATGCCAGATGCAGGCATGGGTTGGGGATGCTGGGATTGCCACGCAATTTAGGCCTCTCGGAAATCTGTGGGAACCCCAACTGTAGCCTGACACTTGTCTGTGCTGCTTGGCCATGGGGTGAGTGTGAGGGGGGCAGGATGGTGGCCTGCACACCTTCTGGGCTCCAGGGAGGCTGTGGCTGCTGGCCAGGCCACACCATGCCTTACTGAGAGCCACATGAGCATCCTCTGACCCTAGCACAGGCACTGTCTGCTGAGAAGGAGGAGGAAAGTGTGAGCATGCATGACTGACGACTTTTCCCTCTTGTCCTCCACAGCTGGACCAGCTGACCAGGAGGGGGGCACCACACCTAGCCCACACCCAGACTGCTGCAGGGAACCCGTTGGCACTGGCGCACGTACTTGGACCTGCAGTGGATGCAGGACACATTTAACCGGAGGATGGAGGCAGAGTAGCGCAGGCACTTGCTGGAGGAATTTGCCCAGCAGCACACTGAGATTTGTGCTGCGATCCGGGAGGCCATGGCCTTCCCCGGTCCTGCGCCTGGTCCTGCCCTCCCCTCAGCCTCTGCTCTCCCCAGCCTCTGCCATCCCAGACCCAGGTACAGCCCCACCTCCTGCCCAGTCCCCTACTGTCCCAGCTCACGTGCGCAGCCGTGTGCGAGAAGGCCTCTGCAGCCAAAGTGCCAGGGGCTCCTCATCAAGGCAGCACCCTCAGCCCTGAGCTTCCCTCCCCCCTTAAAGGTTGGCATTCCCCATTCCCACTTGTGAGAGTCACTGAGGGAAGCACTTTACTTTGTTTACAAACACTTTATTTTTCTGAACAAAAGATCATTTTAGTTTTTCAAAAAACCAACAGTGAAATAAACTGTAAACATTTTTTCATCAACACCTGTCTCTATTCTCAGTGTGTGATGAATGCGTACAGTGTGTGAATGTGGGGCCAGGAGAGGTTTTGAGGAGGAAGGCACCAGGGGTATGGGGCACTCCCACATTTGGAGGGACCTGGGGAAAATCATTGGCCTCCTTGGGAGAATTGCTCCCTCAGGGCTTCGGATTTGCAATCCCAAATGGTGGGCTTGCCGGATGGCAGCTGTCTGGGGCTGCTCAAAGTGCCTCCCCTCCATGTCAGTCCATGTCCCCCACACAGGGAGGAAGTCCTCCCCTTTCCTCTCCACTAGGTTGTGCAGCACACAGCATACTGCAACCACATCAGGGATGTTGTGTTCCCCCATGTCCAGCCGAGTGAGCAAGCATCTAAATCTGCCCTTCAGATGGCCAAAGGCGCACTCCACCTGGAAGTGAGCCCGATTCAGGCAGGAGTTACAGTTCCCTGCTCGCATCCAGGTGGCTGGTGTAGGGCTTCATGAGCCAGAGTATAAGGGGGTACGCCACGTCGGCCATGATGCATGTAGGCATGTGTACATCCCTAACTACATAGTTCTTCTCCGGAAATAGTGCCCCAGCCTGCTGTATAGGTAGGAGTTCTGGACTATGCGGGCATCGTGTGCCCGGCCTGACCACCAGACACAAATATCTGTGAATGGTCCCTGGTGGTCAACCACAGCCTGCAGCGCCATGGAAAAGTAGACCTTTCTATTAATATACTGTGCTCCTCGATGGGGTGGTGCGCTGATCGGTATGTGAGTCCCATTGAATGCTCCACCACAGTTCGGAAAACCCAGCCGTGCAAATCCGGCCAAGATGGTCTCCAGGTCTCCGAGGCGGACAGTCCTGTGAAGCAGCTGCGAATTGATGGCCATCACCACCTGGAGAAAGAGACAAATACAAACACACATAACAAGACATTAGAGGAGTTGCATGAACTGATGAGAGGTGCTCCCCCACCCCTCCCCTCCCAGACCCAGAGTCCCGCCTCAGGCAACCCCCCCATTTCCCCCGCACCACCGCAGGGTGAGGCCAGGCAGGCGTCTACCACTGCCCAGTCCTAACCATTCCCCTTATCCACTCGCCCTCGCCCCCATGGACTGTCCCCCGAGACTGACTTACCTCCATCAAGATGGCCCTGACAGTAGACGCCCCCTCAAGCCAAACTGATGTCCCACGGAGCAGTAGCTATCGGGGATGACCAGCTTCCACAGAGCAATAGCGACACACTTCTTCAGGCGTATGGCAGCCTGCAAGCAGGTGTCCTGGCATCGCAGGGTGGGGGCAAGCCTGGCACAGAGCTCCTGGAAGGTGGACTTCTGCATCCAGAAGTTTCAGAGCCACTGGTTCCACTGCTGCATAACAAGCCGGTCCTACCAGTCAGAACTAGTGTCCAGCCTCCAAACTCACCTCTCCAGGAATAAGTTCAGGGGCAAGGGCAGTAAGGCTACAGCCTGAGTGAGGAGCTCAAAGCTGGGCTCTGAATCCAGCTCTGACGCAAATGTCATGATGCTCTCATGAAGATGCAGCAGAACTTCCATCATCACAGTATGGGGCCATCGCCTGCCCAGGGGGGAGAGAAAGAAAAAGGGAGGGGGTGGGAGACAGAGCATCATTAAGTATCTGGAGAATGGGTACTTAAACCTAAGCAGATAAAAATCAAGTCAATAGATGGGGGGAGATATTCCTGCTCATCCAGCCCCCAACTTAAACCTGTCCAACACATTATCAATAAACTACAATCTATACTGGAACAGCATACTAAACTCCGAGATGCTCTGGGAGACAGACCATAGTCTCCTATAGACAACCAGAAAGGGCATTTTCTCAACGACTTGATTAGCTGCATCCTGCTTCAAAGACTTTTTAACACCAGACTTGAAAGAGAATCCTCTGAATTGTCATTCATGCTTAAATTCAACACTTTTCACCTAGGTCTAAACAAAGACATTAATTATCTTACCCATTACAAAGATAGCTTCCCCAATTATCACCTCTAATATCATTAGCTCACAGACATTTACCTCCCCCCCCTTCTGTTGAAATTTGATTTGTCCTTTTCATATGTGTTCATTTTTTTGATTGTACCCTTTGGTATATATGGTTGTACCAATTTTCTTCCACTATTTGATCTGAGGAAGTGGGTCTGGCCCTCGAAAGCTCATCACCTAATAAACCATCTTGTTAGTCTTTAAAGTGCTACATAGACCTGTTTTTTGCTTCTACTCACCTTGTAGTAATTGGAGTTCTTCAAAATGCCCTTATGTGTAGTGCACCACTCACCCTCTGTTCCCACTGCCTCTAATTCTATTCTATTGTGCAGCCTTGCAGTGGAGAAGGACCTGAGATGGGGGTGGTCCAGCAGCCCATTTTGTACCCTGGATGTGGAGCATAAGGAGAGTGTGGGTGCATCCATGGAACAAGTGGCCACTGCTAGGAAGAATTCTCTGGGTCTGGGTGGATAGAGCTCATATGCACTACACATCACTATATCTCATAGAATTCCAGTTATCATAAGATAAGTTATCTTTCCTTTTTTTAAAGCTTTGGGGGGGGTTTAGTCTTCTGCAGGCTATGGTTTATCATTTAAAACATACCTACTCTATACCTAAATTAATAACAATATTATATTCTACTCATTGTTACAATAATGATCTCTACCCTATTGTATTTTTACAGCTCCCTGAAAAACTTCTGTATTCACAAGGCTGCAACTGGATTCAGCAATATAGTTTTGGTCCAGAAAGATACACAGGCCCCAATGTATTTGGAAAATTACGTAAATGTATTGAAACATTAAAGACACAGGTGAATATTTAGGAAATGGAAGAAATGTTAGAAGGGTGGAATGAGACTGAAAAGGGAAATCATTTACTGCTACAGAAGTATCGGCTTTCTGCTCAAAACATTACTTCTGTACAATCTGTCAGATGTTACTGGTTTTAAGTATGGGCATAAGTATGTCCTTATATCTGCTCTGCTGGTCATTGCTATTTTGGTCTTTACATGGTCATTTTTAATTCTACTCTATATCTTTTTTACTTGGTTTACCAGTAAATTATCTTATGTCTTTTGAGATCCTGTTGCTTGTTACATGGCTGACTACACCTCTGCCCCCTTTCAGATCTCTCAGAGCATCCACATCTGGGATTGTAGGTCTCTTTGCTTTTCTCTGTCTTGGTGTCGAAGCTTGTGATTTGGGTCCTTATTACATTACCTCATTCATGCCAAGTACTTTTCATAGAATCACACACGTGTTGGACTAGAAGGGACCTCAATAGGTCATCTAGTTTAGTTCCCTGCACTCACATCTGGACTTACCTAATTAGACCATTCCTGATGGGTGTTTCTCTAATCTGTTCTTAAAAACCTCCAGTGATGGAGAGTCCACAACCACCCTTGCAGGACAACATTTCAGAATTTGGTTGGGGGAGGAATGACATGTGCATGCTTCAATATTAGGAGGCAGAGTGAAGGCATGGGGGGCACAGAGTGAGATCAGTGGTTTCAGCCGTGTTACTGAATATGCTCAGTACAAGTCAAACAGCAAATCTGGAGGAGGAGGAACCAACCCTGTTTGCCCTTCCCCTTCTCCCCTCCCATACACATTGCCTCTTTTTAGGGGCTACCAAGGTATTTGAAAACTCTAGCTTTTTTTGCCAGATAATTTAGCAATTAGCTGGCAGAAGCCACAATATCTAATTCCTATATAAAAGAATGAAAGAAAATTAAATAAATATTAGGCCTATTCAGCTCTTGTGGCAAGTCACTTAAGGAATGCTGGTTAGGCTCAACATTTAAATATATATTCTCACTTTGTTACTAACTCTGGGGGGAGGGGGGAATAGACAGAGAGAGAGACTGTCAGGGTTCCTAGAATCTATCTCGGCTCTAGGAAGGAAGTGGTGTTTAGTAGGTTACAGCAGGAGGCAAATACATCTGGGTCCTATGTAAGAACCTCAGAATGGTCACACTGGGTCAGACCAAAGATCCATCTAGCCCAGTATCCTGTTTTCCAACAGTGACCAATGTAAGGTGCTTCAGAAGCCATGAACAGAAGAGACATTCATCAATGATCCATCCTGTGCCCCTTCCCAGCTTCTGGCAAACAGAAGCTAGGGACACCATCTCTGCCCATCATGGCTAGTAGCCATTGATGCACCCATGCTCCTTAAATTATTTTGTTCTTATTGCAACCCTGTTTATAGTCTGAAACTTCACCATCCCTGACAAAGCGTTCAAGAGATTCACCGTGAAGAAATAATTTCTTTTGTTTGTTTTAAATTTTCTGCCTATAAATTTCATTAAGTGACCTTGCTGACTTTGCTATGAGTCAGTGGCCTCCAATCCCCCCAAAAAAGGTTTGCCACTCTTGCCTTATATGGAAGCTGTTCCTTACCCCTAATAATTTCTGTTGCCCTTCTCACTATACCTTTTCCAAATCCAGTGTATCTTTTTATAGATGGAGAGACCAGACCTGCATGCTGTATTCAAGATGTGGGCATACCATGACTTTATATAGAGGCAATATGATATTTTCTGTCTTTATTCTCTATTCCTTTCCTAATGATTCTCAATATTCTTTTAGCTTTTAAATTGTGACTGCACACTGAGGAGATGTTTTCTGGGAACTTTTCTAAGATCTCTCTCTTAAGTGGTAACAGCTAATTTAGACCCCATCATTTTTGTATGATTGGGATTATATTTTTCCATGTGCATTACTTTGCATTAATCAGCATTGAAATCCATCTGCCATTGTGTTGTCCAGCCACCCAGTTTTGTGAGGTCACTATAACGCTTTGCAGTCAGCTTTGGACATAACTATTTTAAGTTTGTATCATCTGCAAATTTTACCACTCACTGCTTACCCCTTTTTAAAAATCATTTATGAGTAAGTTGAACAACACTGGTCCTAATACAGACCCCTGGTGCATACCACTGTTTATTCCTACCTTTTGTTTTCTATCTTGTAAGTGGAGTATCTGGCAATGTTTTCATGGTCATCTAATGACTCTTCAGTTACTTGAACCACGACAAGGTTTTTGTTATCTTAATCGCCTGCCTCTCTCTATTTATAAACAAATTTCCTGCCCCAAAGGCAAAGCTGAGAGCAGTTAAGAGCTGGGTCAGGGCATGTGCTTTAAGCAGTGCATGTGCTCCAGTATGAAATTAAGGGGTTCAAACCTTTAAGGCTGAGTTTCCCAACCTGTGGGTCACCGTTACATTTCAAAAGGGTTGCCAAGTGTCTCCCCAGGTTGCTCTACTCCCCACTTCCCCCCGTTTTTAATGGCCTTAGGTCACCAAGTCTTCCTGAATTGTCAAAATGGGTCCCCATCTGGAAAAGGTTGGGAACCGTGGCTCTAGGGGGAGGCTGTAGCCCCCTCGGCCTCTCCCTAAATGGTGCCCCTGCTCCCTAAGCTATTTGTTCTAGTGCTTAACTACCCTGAGAGGAAGTTTTTCTTAATATGCAGCCTAAGCTTCCTTTGCTGCAATTTAAGCCCATTACGTCTTGTCTTATTCTTAGATGTTAAGTACAATATTTTTTCACCCACTTTCTAACAACCTTTTTTGTGTTACTGTTATCATGTCTCCCCTCTGTTTCCTCTTCTCCAAATTAAACAAACCCATTTTTTCCAGTCTTTCCTCATAGGCCATGTTTTCTAGACCTTTAATCATTTTTGTTTTTCTTCTCTGGGCTGACTCCAATTTATCCACAACTTTCCTAAAATATAGCACCCAATATTGAACCCAATGTTCAAACTGTGAACTTATCAGCATGGAGTAGAGGATGTCTTTTCTTCTCATGTCTTGTTTACAACACTCCTACCATTTCCATATTTTCTGTTATTGTCTTTCCTGTCCTTAATTTTCTTCTTACTACTGATTTATTTGTACAATATTTTCTTGTTGCCTTTTATGTCTATAGATAATTTAATCTCATTTTGTGCCTTGGCATTTCTAATTTTGTCCCTACATACTTGTTTATATGCATCTTTTGTAATTTTAATATCATTTTAATATATATTCTTACTTTGTTACTAACTGCGGGGGAAGGGAGAGGAACAGACTGTTAGGATTCCTGGGCTCTATCATCGCTCTGAGAGGGAAGTGAGGTCTAGTGGGATATAGCAGGTTACTTTTGTGGGACTCTTTTTTAAAGTTACTGATATTAGAAGGATTCCTGGTTACGCCAGGATGGTCTCTTGGCATATTTCTTATTTTTCCTATGCAGTGGGTTAGTTTGCTCTTTTGCCCTTAATGCCTCTGAAAAATTGCCAAGTCTTTAGAACTGTTTTTCCTTTAGAATTGCTTCCCATGGGATCTTATCTACCAATTCAATGAGTTTTCTAAGTCTGCTTTTTTGAAACCCATTGCATTTATTGTGTTGTTTTCCCTCCTAACATTCCTTAGAATCGTAAGATATCATTTCATGATCACTTTCATCCAAGATGCCTTCCACTTTCAAATTCCAGTTGGTTTCTTCCTATTTGTCCAAATCAAATTTAAAATATTCTCTTCCCTAGTAGTTTTCTCTCCATCTTCTGAAACAAAACAAAAAATTGTCTCCAGTCCAAGAACTTATTGGGTAATTTACTCCCTGTTGTGTTATTTTCGCAACAAATATTGGCCTATAGTAGACCCTTACTAAGACATAACTCTTGTTTTTTACCTATTTTATCTTTACCCAGAGACTTTCTACAAGTCTGTCTCTATCTCAGTCTTAATCCAAGTATGTACATCTTTTGTCCCTTTTATCACCTTGGAGTTCCAACTGGTCTCAGGCACCTGTGTTTCTTCCCTTTGGGAACCTGTGATCAATGATACAGTGACCAGCAACCCTTTTAAAGCAAAGTATACAATGTAAAATATACAAAGCATTAGAGGAAAAGAAAGGAGTTTAAAACAACAGTCAGCCTCCTTACCTGTATCCAATTTGCTACAATTCCATAAGGGCAATTTAGGCTCATGTGTTTTCAGGCATGATCCCCGTGAATGTTTATTATTGTCTGGTTTTACTCATCTTCCAGAAGGGGAAACCGTTGCCAGCTCTGGCCAGCTGTGTAGCTGCCTTCTGCTCTGCCTCTGGCCCACAGTTCACACAGCTCCTACCTGGTGCCTCCTGCCTGTTCCCCCACCAGTTTCCATGCCCTACTCCTGCCCTCCACAGCCCTACGCCTGACCCCATGGCCTTGCAGCCTTGAGCCCCATAGTGTGTTTGCTCAGGCTGCATAGGGCACCAGGAATCCTAAGAATAATGAGGAGTCCTGTGGCACCTTAGAGACTAATAGATTTATTAGGACATGAGCTTTTATTGGTAAAACTCACTTCATTTAATCGATTTGTTAGTCTGCAAGGTGCCACAAGAATCATTGTTTTTGCAGATATAGACTAATATGGCTACCCCTCAGAGGAATCATACGGACAGCCCTGTAATGTCTCTTAATTACAAAATAACAACACACACACACTTTGGGTGGATTCAAAGTGATGGCATAGACTTGAAAGACTTTGAGTTCCATTAACAATCTCTAAAGCTATGTCTAGACTACATGGCTCCGTCGACGGAGCCATGTAAAATAGTTTATTCAGCATAATAAAAATAATATAAACGATCAGCTGATCTGGCACAGTGCGGCAGTCTAGACGAGGTTTACCAGAGTGGTTGACAAACGCTTCCTTTGTTGACTGCGCTGCATCTAGACTGCTGTGCTGTGCTGGATCAGCTGATCGTCGGCACAGCGTAGTGGCCATTTTTATTTTAATGAAGCGGGGATTATTTAAATCCCCATTTCTTTGACTGTGGCGAATAAACTATTTTACATGGCTCCGTTGACGGAGCCATGTAGTCTAGACGTAGACTAAAAGCCAGTCAGTGCTTCCACTAATTTTTACTTTAGTTATAATAATGGTTAATGGCACTCAGTGATTATTGTCTTTTTAATCCTTGTCCAAACACAGTTCGCATTAAAATATATAACACACAAAACATGTATCAGTGATGAGGTAAACAGCTGATTTGAATTTCTTGTATATGCTTTGTAGTGGACTGAAATAAGCGGTGTTAAAGATCATGATGAAAGAGGAAACATGTGCAATATCCTTTTCTCTGATGAAAACAAGGAATATAAACTGTATGAGGCTATAAAATTCATCATGCTTTTCCAAGTTGTGGAAGCCTATGATCAGATGAAGAGTGAGCAGAAACGTGTACCCATCCTTTTTAGCCTCCTTTTTGCTCGTGATACCTCATCTGACCCTTTGAGTTTCATGATGAATCATCTGAATTCCATAGGGGACACAGGTGGTCTGGAGCAGGTAATGGTGTGAATAAAAATTAAATTCTAGCAGTCTGTATTTACTGAAGGAATAGAATTTGGGAATATTTTGAATTCTTATACCTTGATTTGATATTCTTACTTTAATACTAGGGCTGGATGAAAAGTACATTGTTTTTAGAGCATCTAGACTGTTTATAAATTTGGGTAGAATTTGGAAAATAGTATCAGCCAGAAGGAAACTGGGAGACAAAGTTTGGAAACGTTGAATCATTTTGTTTTGACATTTTGTAAATAAGCTGTTTTGACATCTGAACAAAATGTCATATATAATCAACATTTTCTAACAATTTATTTGACCCCAAATAATTTTTGAGGTGGGGAGGGGAGAAAAACAAAACAGTAGTTTTGGTTTGAAATAATTTTTTTCAGTTCAGTGATTGAATCAAAATATAAGCTATTTGCTCAGCTCTGTTTAATGCACCATCCATGATGGAATTATTTTATTTTTTAAAAACTTTTCCTAGAGAAAAGGCAATTTAAAAAGGGAGGAGGGACTGTTAGGTATCTCCAAAATAAAATGTCTTGGGGAATTATTTATACAGATTACTAAAAGCAGTGATATCACTGATATAAAAAATAATAGTTTTAGATAACAATATCATGCATGTTTGACATACTTCAGATTTTGCAACTGTTTTTTTTTCCAATATAAGCTTTCCATATAGGCCACTTTAGAAAGTATATTTGCCCTCCAAGAGATATCTCCTCTGATCACTTACTGGCTCAGGTTGTGGGAAGTTCTTGCTGTTGCAATTCTTAGTCCACTCTTATTATTACAGATGTAAACAAGTTAAATGTCTTACTCTAAACATCACAGCATCTTTAAAATGTGGGTTCTCTCTCCCCCCCCCCCCCCCCCATTTACCTCTTATAAGTGTATAAACAAATATTTACATCATTTTTCCTCCTTAGGTTGAACTATTTCTTCTTGGATATTTACTTGAAGTAAAGATAAGAGTTTACAGGCTGTATAAGTTTAACACTGAAGAGTTTCAAGTCAGCTATCCAGAGGAGTATCACAGGGATTGGCAGGAAATTTCTCTTCTAACTGAGGATGACCATCACTACCACATCCCCATTATAAGAATAAGAGATTGATTTCTAACCATGCGGTATAAGAAGTGACCATCATTTTAAACCAAGTCCTTTGATGGCAACAGCAGGATTTCAAGTAACATAAAATAATGACTACAGGACACACAGATGTGTTGTGCATTACCTTACAATGCTAAATGATACCTATTCTTAAAGAAGGGTGTTTCAGCATTCCCTACCCACTGACTTGGGGAGAGAAACAAAGGCAATAATAACAATAAATGACTTGCAGTAGAGCTTTATTCAATATATACTCTTCCCTTTGTCTTCCCTTCTCCTTCTTTTTGGAAGGGTCAGATTTTAATGTTACCCATCCAAAGTATGCAAAGGGTTGTCTTTGCAATTGGTTTGAGAAGGCTGTGCACTGCAGTTCATTTACAAATGCTGCCTTTTCACAAAAATGTTCTCTCTCCATACATTATATACATTTAGCAGGACTTGAATTTCCTAAGATTTTTGTATATATGATTTACTACCTTGGACTTTCCTTAATCTTAACATCAAGTTTACTTCTAGTTTTGTTAAGCAGTGTCCAGTATAACAAGCAAATTGTCTTAAAGTATGTTGAAATATCTGTTCCCACCTATGTTCAGTGCTTTTTTTGTGAGGGTATGCACCTATTTTCTCTGCATAACTTAAATGAATTGCATTCCCCTCGAGCATACCGGCATCTCTGTTCCTGGGATGGCTGGGCTCCTGATGGAAGCCCGCTTGGGACACGCAGCTCTTAAAGGGGACATTGTTTTGGGCCTTGGTGTGGCTTCTCTTTTTTTTTTTTTCGTTGCTCAACAGTTTTCCCCCTGGTTTTCTTACAAAAAAAGCACTGCCTATGTTCATTAAAAAGATGACTACTGTGAAGAAAGGGAGATGCCAGATGCATTAAAAAAAAGCAAGGATTGCTGTCTCATATAGGGAGCTAGACACATTCTCATAATCTAAGAGAGTGAACTGCAATTAGACCATTTTATAAAATTAGGACGTTTAACTTTAATGAAAATTAAATAAAAACAGTTTTGCAATATGTTTATTTATGGCACATGGACATTATCCTAACTAAGCTGAAAATTATTTGAGTCACTTCACTAATAAGAGAATATTTAAAGAGAAGAGTTTTTAATAAGAAACAAAAAACTTCTCTTTAAGTAATATTGACATCGTTGCCAAAGACACATGTAGTGTTTCTCTTATTCTCACAGGAAATAATTTACCAGAAAGAAATGAGAAATCAGGTCCTCAGGAACTATACCAATTATATATACTTTTAGAATACAGAGACTGATCTATTTTTTTCTGAAATGAAAAGCCATGTTTTCCCATATATTTCTTGCATATATGTATATATATTTATGAAATAAACATAGATTTGTTGAGTACTGTAATGGTTTTGTTTCCTGAAAGTTTTACTGGCTCAGATGGTTTGTTCAATAATTTGTAGTCTCTAATTAAAACTGTGTGTTGCATAATTTTTTTCATCTTACCAAAAAACCACATTTCTGATTGTTTTATTTATTAAAAAACTTTCTCCTGAATCAATATGTTGCTCTTTTCTTTTGGTTTTAGTCTGTGTGGGGAGAAGTTTAAAAAGTGCTGATAGTAGCATACTGTTCTTATTTGCTGAATACCAACAATATACTCATTGCTGTACTTATGTGAACCGAAATGGCCCAGTACGCAGAAAGGTTAAAATGTAGTTCCCATGCAGACAAATGTGTACATAAAATGCAATTCTGCAGAAGCATTTGCTATACTTTTATGAGTGTTTAGAAAGTTTGTCTGTCTATAGTATCTATACAATAATTATGACTAACAATATATAAGTACTATAACTGAAGAATGAATTATGAAAAAAATTACATTTGTACTAGAGATGTAAAACCCTGTTGAATTAGTTATCTGGTTAAACATTAAGTTTAACTGGTTAAATGGGGTGGGCAGGCTAGAGCCCCCCCACTTATAGAACACCAGGGGCTGCTCTGGAGTACCCCTTGCCTGCAATGGGCTCCACAGGGCTGAAGCAGCCCCCTGCCTATGGTGAGTGGGGGGGCTTCTCGAGCCCCCACCCCATTTAACCATTAACATCCCTGAGTTTTGTTAACTTTGAATACACAACTTTCCAAGAATGTTATATTTAAAAAGTCATCTTATACTCCATGTGTCCAACCAGTTCTGAAGCAGTAGTCACTATAGTGGCTACTGCTATAGCGAACTAGTCACTCTTAACCAGCCAAATGGCCACATTGTTCAAACCACCTAGTCACACTCATCCTGCCAAACATCCACACGTGGCTAGTGGCTAGCATGTTGGACACCACAGTCTTATGCTAAAGTGCATGAGGGCCCTATTGAATAGTTTAGAAAACAATGTGGGATGAAAATCAAATCAGTTAAAATATAGCTGCAAGGCTGGCAATTCCTTAATAGTATAGAACCCTATGGAGTAGTCTTCAATAGTTTTATTAAAACAAAGATTAATGGCTAATATGCAAATACCTCCCACCCCTCCAAAAGTAGTCCCATAGCACCTTAGAGACTAACAAATATATGTATAGTATCATGAGCTTTTGTGGGCACATCCCATTTCTTTTTTATTAGTCTCTAAGGTGCTACAGGACTACTGGTACTCTTTTTTTTTTAAGCTACAGACTAACATGTCTATCCTTCTGAACTGCAAATACTCAGTTACCTATTGACTTAAAGGAAGCTGACTGTACCATTAAGAGGTGGTCTGAGCAGGAGGGCAGATGTCAGGAAGGGTAACAAGCAGAAAAAGGTCCTTCAGATAGGTTTATCCAAATCTTTAAGAAGCCTGTGATGCAGAAATAGCAGAGGTGCTTCCTGTTGCCTTTTATGAATACTTGGGGGCTGCGTTTCACTCTGCGATACTTGGAGCAGCACCTTCCACTAATTCCTCTGCCTTTTGGGGACCTAGTAGCTACCAGAGCAGGATTTATTTGGCTTGTAAAACTTGTAAAATTTTCTATGTGCATTGATTGTCTTACTTCCTTGACTCCTAGTTTAACAGGACGGTGGCCCTGGGGGTGTATGCATATGTTCCACTCCACATCTTACTAGACTTTTAAAACTGTCAGCTGTAGGTGTAGCTCATAGGCCTGCTACTAGTCATATGCCGTAATGGACAGGAGGAGTGCTGGCCAGAATCTGGTGACTAAAGGGTTAAACTCAGGTAGTTAGCAAGGGGCTTGGCAGGAAGCCAGAAAAACTAATAGGAATAAAGAGCTGAAATGTGAATTGTATAAGGTACCTTGCCTGCTTTCTTTGTGTGGGAGAGTTAAAACAGGAGTTGGGGGAGACAGAATGATTTAAATCCAGCCAGGACTACCATGCCTCCAAGGAATTTGGGGCATGGAGGTAGACTAAACCAAGAAAAGATTGGGAGTAAGTAAAGAAAAAGAGAATCTAGTTTGATCAGAGTATTTTCTCTATTTGGTGGTTTGGTTTGAGCTACTCTGTGTGAATTTATGCCCACCTGCCCCACATTTACCATCTAAACATTTTTCCCAGAGATTTTTTGTTTTAATTTGTTTTCCTTAGTTGCTCTATCAAATATGCTTTATCAAGTGTACCTTTTGTTTTGTAATAAAAATCACTTTTTTAAGGTGATGATTTGATTCTTGTGTCCTGGAAGATACAGGAAGTCTCTGCCTGTGTGTGTCTGCATGCTTCAGACTGAGAGGTCAGCTACCAGAGACTACAGCTTGTTTTTCTCTTTTCAAGCTCTTTTGGGGCAAAAGAACTTGGGGTACCCCTGGGATGAATTCAACTGTTCACTTCAGTTTTTAGGGATAAAAATCACTTGATGATGGCAGTTACCCCTGAAAATCTGTGCATTTGTGATTCTGGAGAAAGTTTTCGTACCCAGTGCCTGTAGTGGCCAGGTATATTTAAAGTCTTTGTGGGCCACCACCTCCTGCACTCGAAGAGCCAGAGTGGGGAACAGCCCTGACATACTCCCTATATGCAATTGGATGTAAGGCTTTCTGCCTCTTAGGGTATGTTTGTACTGCAGCCTCTACATGTGCCCAAACTCCCTATTGTCCACATGTCATGGGGAAGGGGACATACACACACACACACACACACATTGCCATGGCACCTCCTACCAGTAGCCCTGGGAATGAGCTCGTTAGCCTGCAGGGCGCCTCCTTCTAGCTGTGTCTTTCCATGTCCTCACTCTACGCTCTGCATTCCAGACCCTTGTTGATCCCAGACCACAGCATCCCCTTCGGGACACTGCCCTCTGGCAGTGCCCACTCCCCTGTCTCTCAGCCCCCTTCTAGTGAGGATTATCAGTCTCTGCACTTTGGGGTTCCTCCACTCCTAGGCTATGTCTACACTCGCGGCTTCTTGCGCGAGTAATATGCAAATGAGGCTAAGTGGAATATCGCCAAGCCTCATTTGCATACCTAATGAGCCACCACTTTTTTCAGAAGAGGCTCTTGTGCAAGAAGGAGCATCTACACTGCCCCTTCTTGCGCAAGAAAAACCCTCTTGTGCAATACCGTTACACCTATTACTTTTCAGGAAGAACGGCATTGCACAAGAGGGGGCAGTAGATCTTGGCTTGTTCTGTCATTTAAAAAGTGATCTTGGGTGCAAAAAGGTTGGAGACCACTGCTCTATGGGGACCCTCATGCAGCTTGTCTTAAGTGCCTGGGAAAGACTCACGTGTCTGAGGCCTGTAAGATCTGTAGGGCCTTCAAGCCACGTACCAAGTGAGAAAGGGAGGCTTGCTTCAAGTTTATCCTGATGGAGGCAGCCTTATGTCCAGCACCAGCGTCCGATCCAGCACTGACAACCCAGAACACACCGGCATCGGACAGGCCTTGGCACAAGTTGTAGTCCCCAGTGCCTCAAAAGAAGAGGCCTACCAGGGGCAGGTCTCCCTCGAGGCATGTACCCTCTGTGCACTCTCAAGTGGGGCACAGCACCAGGACCATCACGGTCAGATGGGCACTGCTCCAGTCCACGCCGAGACTCCAGCCTGGCAGGGGCCTTTCCGGAGCCCTCCACTCTGGATACTTTTGAAACAAGAGAGTTAATTGAGCTGACCTCTTCCCCATCCCCAGACCCAGCCAAGGAGTGAGGATCTAGATGGCACCACTCCACAGCCTTGGCACCCAGTGCTCTGGCCCCAGATGCTAGAGGGCCCCATCATCCTGCCCCAGGGCCAATAACCTCAACCCCAACCCCAGCTGCAACACCGACTCCACCTTCAGCACCAGCCATATCCCCCATCCCTTCCCAGGCACCGACATCAGAGTCGGCACCCAGCACAGGGGATTTCGGTGGCACTGTCAGCAGCATCAGGTCCTGCAGCTGCCAGCCCTTCTCCTTCAGGTGCATTAGCACCGCCACCGGCCATGCCTCCACCTCCGCCTCTGCGCTGGGGGAAATCAGAGTCGATGGCTCGGTTCACTCCATCCGGGAGGTCGCCAGCTGCTACTGTCACCGCACTGTTGTGATTGACCTCGGAGTATTCAACAGATTCCGAGGCCGAATAGGTCTGGTTGTTCCAGGTCTCAATCCAGACCCGGGTCCTACTCCAACCATCGTTCACAGCACCGTAGTGCATTGGTGCACCAGCAGCAGCAGCAGTGGCCTCAGCCTATCCCAGTGCCAGCGTTACAGCAGCACTGGCCACCTCAAGTGCAGGCCCCAACCCAGTGGCCTTTTTGGACTCCCTGGGCCTACCATCAGAGCTGGGGAGCAGGCCCATCGAGACCAGAGTCAGTCTTTTTGGGGCCGAGTGTTCCCCCCTCGGCAACCTCACTGACCCGCTCCCCGACGTCGGGTCAGTCCCTTCTCCCGGGCCAGGTTTCCCAGGAGCGTCACCAGGAAAAGGGGCCTTCCACCACTCAGCCCTTTACTGTGGCCTCTTCTGTGGTCTCACAAGCCCCCTCTCAAACTCGTGATCCAGAGGTGGTGGGCACAAAGCGGTCCTCATCCTCCTCACCTGATGAGGCGCTTGGTGGCTCTCTCCTTTCCATGCTGTCCATAAACTCGAGGTCCCATCAGGAACTTCTCACTGACTGGCTCAGTTTGCGAGTCCAGGTGAAAAGGGTGTTGGAGGATTCAGACCCTACGGTCGACATCCTGCAGACCGACACCTCTACCAGAGTGGCCCTGCTGATTAATTAGACTGGGACCAAGATCACAAAGACACCCTGGCAGACCCGACAAGAGGGTTGAGTCAAGGTATTTTGTTCCATAGGAGGGGAACAAACATCTTTTTTCTCACCTGCCTCCAGGATTCCTGGTTGTTTAGGTGGTGAACCAGAGGGAGAGGCAGGGCCAGCAAGACACCACTGTCTAGAACATGGAGGTCAAGAAAATGGACCTTTTGGGCAGAAAGGCCTACGCATCTGGGGGTCTTCAACTTCACATGGTGGAACAGCAGGTTCTGCTCAGTCGCTATGCATACAACCCCTGGGCAAACATGAACCAGTTTGCCAAGCTGGTCCCTAGGGAATCTTGGCCAGAGTTTAGAGCCCTAGTAGAAGAGGGCAGGGTGGTATCCTGGGCTGCTGTCCAGGCCGTCCTGGATGCAGCCAATGCAGCAGCTCATACCATAGCGATGGGGGTGGTTCTGCATCATAGCTCTTGGCTGCAGGTGCCCCGAGCTCCAGACCACCATTCAAGACCTTTTGTTTGAGGTTTCATCTCTCTTCTCTGAACAGACCATCCAACGCCTGCACGGTCTGAAGGACACCCAGGCTACCTTAAAGTCCCTGGGAATTCATAACCCAGTCAATCAATGGCATTCCCTGCTGGGCAGGAACGCCCCGAAGCCCTCTCAGCAGGGTACCCACCCTGATTTCTCCCGCCACAGAGGGAGAAACGGTAATGAGAGGAATGTCAGACACCAAACCTGCC